TGGGCCCCCCACAGAAGCTTGGAGTCCAGGGTAAGCCCCAGATACTTAACCTCTGTGGCGGCATTGATTATGGCCGCGTCCAAGGTCAAGTTCCTCATCCCCTGGAGCTTTCGTTTCTTGGTGAAGGGGACTATAGCTGTCTTAGAAGGGTTGATATTTAAACCTACGTCTGCACACCACCTTTTTGCAAGGTTAAGACCTCTTTGGACGATGTCACAGAGAGTACTTGCGAACTTCCCTCTAGCGATAATCGCGTACCCTTGGCAGCGGACGCCCTCGTTAGTAAGTATCTGCAGGAGTTCGTCCACAACTAAGCTCCACAGGAGAGGAGATACATCGCAGTATCCGTTGATCTCCTCACCCTGTACGCGTGCTGGTTGGAATGCAGAGGGGTTTGTTTCAGAGTGTTAAACCTGATTTCGAGGTCAATAAGTTTCTCCATAGCCTTTAGCATAAAGGATGTGAGACTTATCGGCCTGAATGACTTGGCAAGATAGTAATTTCTCTTACCTACCTTCGGAATGTGAGAGAGTGCTAGGCTGTCCATCATAATATCCACAAGATGTGGAAGTAGGAGCTCCCCGCCCTGCCTCAGCAACACTTCCAGTCCGGAGGGGATGGCCTGAACGTACGGAATATCGCGTCCCTGGTGGTGGGAATGGCGTCCAGAAAGTGAGCCGACAGCAGGGCGAGTGCCCTTTCATGTTCAGTACCTGAAAAAGTAGGTTAGGTAGCCTAATAGCCAGCCTAGTCCCTGTGTTGTCTATCGCTAAGGCTTTATGTAGCCTAGCAGCTGCAGGAGTAGATGCGATGTTCTTACAAAAGGTCCTGAAGCTGCTACGCTTGGCCTTTCTTATAGTATTTTATCAGACTGACTGAGTACTCCTTCCAATTCCAGGCGCGATTCGCCCTGTTGAAAAGTCTCGGCACCTCTTTCCTAAGAACTGAGAGTTTCCGTGACCACCAGGGAGACTTAGCTTTCCCCTTTAGCATTGACACGGGACAGCTGGAGCTAAAGGCATCCAAAATATTGCCGTGCAGCTTGTTGACCCTGCCCTCTAACTCCACACAATCCACCTTTCCATGTTGTGCCTCTACCCTGGTTAAGTTCAACCTAAGTACCTCTTCATATTTACCCCCGTCTGTTTTCCTGGGGTTTCTCTTTGGGTGACCTGTCAGAACCTCAGCTCCCAGTGCAAATCGGATAATCCTGTGATCCGACAGTGCGGGCTCAGATGAGACCCGCCACTAACCGATCAGAGGACTGGCCAGTCTGTTGCTGAGAGTGATGTCAAGTACCTCCTCTCTGACCCTAGTTATGAACGTTGGTTCATTACCGACATTGCGGATGCACATGTCTTCACTAATAATGTATTCTAATAGGCACTCACCCCTACGGTTTGTGTCCGAGCTGCCCCACTCTATATTGTGGGCGTTCGCATCGCAGCCGAGAATCGCCGGAAGTCGTTTCCTGCGGCAAAATTTCAACAGCTGTTGTACCTCATGAGGCGGCACGTTGGCGTTGTCCCCCAGAAAGTAGGCTGCAGCCAAGACCACCTCCTGTTTCTTCCCGTTAACCTTTAAAGTAGCTATAGTATATATATTATATATATTATAAGAATTATTACAGGTTTTCTGACGGGACACTGTAGGCTCAGAGGGCACCTGTATAAACTAGGTATCTGGTCCAGCGACCTGTGTCGTTTTGCCATGCGGCCAAAGAGACTCCTCTACACCTTCTTATGGAGTGTGAGGCCGTTGCACGCAGGAGGTATAGGAGCATAGGGCACGTCTGGCCAAGACAGGAAAACATACTCTCACAGTCCCCGGGGTGTATTACGAAATTTATAGACACTCTGGGTCTGGTTGAGGTGTTGTGATCAGCTAGGGACACAATAGACCTACTGGTCGCAGTGCCATACCCAACCAACTAACTATCTATCTATCTGCGAATAGTCATCTCGATTAATAAACCAGCCGACATTGCTTCCGCGGAACACCGGACCTATGTCAAGTTTTCAAAAGCCGACTGGAAAGGCTTCGCGAATGTTACTAAAAAAACCTTCACTGCACTACCCACACCAACCGGCGTTCACGTACGTGAGCGTAAATTCCACAGGGTTTTCACTGCTGCTGCAGCCCGCTTAGTTCCAGCAGGCTGTATTTCAGATCCCCGTCCGCATTTCCCTGCTGAAGCGGCTGTCCTAGCCGATGAGCGTGACAACCTTCGTCAGGCCGATCCCGGAAATCCCCGTATCAGGGATCTTAACTCGGAAATTCGGCAACTTGTGAACGTACATACGCGGACGAAGTGGGAAGAGCATCTGAAGACCTGCATATACGCATCTGGTGTGAGTAAGCTTTGTGCAACCGTGGTCATTGTCCAACCCGACGAAGCGTGACGACTGAGTTCAATAACCCTCTCCCCTACAAAATTCTCAGTAACACTCTTTACCACCTGGACGAAGGAGCTCACACTACAACTGGGATTTCACGTCGATACCAACCAATTTCGACGGTGAACAACCCGAATATACTCGGTGTAACCTTCGACAGTCTGCTCTCCTTCGCGGCGCATACAACCGCAATTGTCAACAAAGTGCAAAGCCGCAACAAGTTCCTCAAGTCGCTAGGCTAGCCGGCAGCACCTGGGGGAAAGATAAATAAACGTTGCTGGCAACGTAAAAGACAGTTGGCCGGCCAGTTCTGAACCATATAGCGCCTGTGTAGTTACCGCAGACCTGCCAAAACACGGCACTCAGGACAACGGCAGGATGCTTTCCGATGTCGCCGCAACATCACCTGCACGACGAGACCCATATACTCGCCGTTAAGGAGCATAACACAATGCTCTGCAAACAGATTCTAGGTGGGAGCCACAGACGTGGCCACCCAAATAGAGGTTCATCGCACAACCTCTGGACCCGACAGCTTATCTACAAGCCTTGAAATTTACTATATCTGTGCACTAATTTATTAAAGTAAAAGTGAACTTTAGCGGAACCAGGCGTCCAACTCCTTTTTGCGTAGGCGGCCTTCGGCAGCACTTAGGGATTATAACCCTCAGGCAGTAGAATTCTCCTTTCTGTGTTGCCAAAGAAGGGGGACTGAACACCTTTTGCAGAGAACAACTTTCATTTACTCCATTTATTTGCGTCAAATTCATAAAAACTTGGTGCGAAAAGTGCAAAGTGCAAGTGTTATTTGCGAATAACTCTTAAATTAATTAAAAATCTTAATCTAATCCTGGTTCCCGTAAAGTGCACTACTACCTTTATTAATAATGTCGGTTGGAAATATGGTATTTTTTGCAAATTTCCGAGCTGAGCTGTCAAACAAAAAATATCCAATTAATATCTCTGCAAAAGGTGTTCAGCCCCTCTTCTTCGGCAACACAGGAAGCAGAATTCTATTCAGTGAGGGTTGTAATCAGTGTTGCCAAGCCAAAAATGTATCCAAATGTATCCAATTTTCTTTTTTTACATATACATCTCATAATTTGTAAGAAAACCAAACATTTTCATAAAAAAGACATAATTTAACCCGTCTTAAGGACTTGGAATACATGTGCATAAAATGAAACATTTGTAATTTTAATTTATAAAGTACATTTTTTGTGCATAAGTATTTTGCAAAGTAAATATAATAAATAGCAAGTACACTCTAAAAAGAGCATGCAAAACTACTACTGAAAAGTATCTATTTTTCAACAAGAATCTGTATAAATATACGTATAAGATGTTCAGTATTTGATTTTGAACTTGAGATCTTTAAAATATACACATAAATACACATATATAGAATGTTTAAAATTGCAAAAATTTTCAAACTACAAATACATTTGAGTAGTCTACTTGCAAAGTGCGCTATGTAAATTTTTTCGATTCTTAGTTTTTGGCGGATTACGTACCAGTATTTAAAGTAGTTTCATGTCCACNTGTTATGTTATAATTTTATAAGGCTCCTATTTATCCAAATTTTCAGGTAATAATAAAAAGGATTCAATTTAAATGTTAATTGTTGTCGTAGTCGCTTTTTCAAATTTATGGCTTTCTATTATAAAATCACATAACGCTGTTTGCAAGTGGACTACTCATTTCCTACTAATAATAAACATTACTTTATTTTAAACATGTTATGTGTCATTTTGCTCTTGCGACAAATTTGGTATGTAAGAGTAAACAGGCAATGATTCATTTTATTACACGGCGTGCGAATTTGCACACATTAAAAGAGGAAACTGGTTACCTCTCTTAATATGCGCAAATAAACAAAATTTTTTTAGTGTATTTAAAGTCTTTTTAGTAAAATTCATAAAAGTCTCCTTAAATAAATCAAAGTTAGTTTTTTAAACTACATTGAAATCTTCTTTCTTTTTAAATTAACAAATGAAAATATGTGATATGAAAGAGATTACTACAGAAAGAGTATAATTTACTTTATATATATCGTCGTTTAAAGTACAAAACCGCGTATCGTCATTCTGCAAAACCGCGTAACTGACATTTGCTGCCAAAAATTGGATTTGCTCACACAAGCTCTTGGCTCAATCCTTATCCATTCGTCCTGAAATATACTAGCCAGAAATGCGATTGCTTTATAAAAAAGAGAACCATTTTGAAATATAAGTGTTTTTACTCTAGAAAATAATTTACGCAACGTCACATACGCGGTTTTGCTTTTTGTTGATACGCGGTTTTGTACTTTAAACGACGATATGTATATTAAGAAAGCACCCTTTAAGCTAATTAAAGCAATTGCGCGTATACCTATTTTGGTGAGATCTCTTCATATGTTCATTGCTTCGTTCACAAAAAATAAAATGCTTTAATTTCACGCTTAAGTAGCGATTCTTTATACGTTCAGAAAACGTAATGCTTTCTACCATCTTTAATGAAAATCGATTTTTGAACGAAAAAAACTTTATAGGAAATATAAAATTTTGGCCTATTTAAAAAAGTATCCACAGTTATACTGACCGGAAAAAATAAGTACCCCGCAAAAATTCGTCTAAAAATGTATCCAATTGGATCTATTTAGATCCAAGCGGCCTCCCTGGTTATAATACAAAAGCAAAGCACAGCGAACGGACGTGTTTTGGACTGCTCCGAAATAGTTTATAAATTGTGATATTTTGAAACTCAACGGAAAGGAAAAATATCGAATGTGTAACATTGGATAAAACAATTTCATTCAGTTAAGTTTCGGAGTCGATAATGCAACCCTGCTCCTACTAGTTTAAGTAAATTATTGTAATGCAACCCTGTAAAGAAAATGAATAAAGAGAAAAGGAGGAAGATGGCGGTCACTTCCTTTTGGGCGAAAGAATAGAGGACACGCATTAATTGACTAAAAATTCAATCCGCGGTAATCCGCTAGCTAAATCCAAGGTAAATAGCAATTTTACAGCTCAGGTGTTGGGTTATTACCCCGATCATCGAATTTCATCAATAATTTCAAACAATCACGAGAAATGGCCAACCCACGCGAGGATATAACCAAGGCCTTACAACAAGCTGGTGTGGCGTTCCCACCCTCAGCCACGACGCAACAGCTACGTAAACTTCTGCTAAACGTGGTTTGTGATAATAGGAACACCACTACCTTTGCCGATACCGCTGATGCCGCATTTACTGCCTCAACCAACACTGCCGGCACCATTGCCGACATTGCCGTCACCGCTGCCACCACCGCTTATACCGCCGCCACCACCGCTTATACCGCCGCCACCAACGCTGCCGTCACTACCGCTGTCAATACCGCTTCCATCACTACCGCCGCCGCCGCCACCGCTGCCAACACTACCGCCGCCGCCGCCTCCGCTGATTCTGCCGCCACCACCACCGCTGATACTGCCTATTCCACTGCCGATACCGCCGTCTCTATCGCCAATAACACTGCCGCTCTGGTATCTGAGAATGCCACTGAAATAGCAAGGTCAGTACTCACTGAACTAAACGCCGAAGTGACGGCCCTTAAAAAGCGCTTGGAAATACTTACGCTACGCAGACAGATAGAAGAACTGGAGCGCCCTCCCAATAGTAGACGACGAGGTCGCCTGGAATTCGGCGATATTGAGCACGCTCTGCCTAAATTTAATGGCGACGACGTAGCTTACCACGTTCGCCATTTTCTGCGAGATTTTGAGGAAATAATGGAGTCCTCAGGGGCTGACGACAATTTTCGCTTGCTTGCCCTGCGCCGGTCCCTAACAGGCACAGCGAAGGTATTTTTATCGACCACGGCCGCCCTAAATTACCAGGCGCTAAAAGCAGCGCTATCAAGCGAATTCGACGTGGGAATCACAAGGCAAGAAGTGTACAAAATGCTGTCGCAGCGACGCTGGAAGAGGAAAGAGGAGACGCTCCACTGCTACACGCTAACCATGCAGGCCATTGCGAAGCGCGCCAATATCGCCGATACGGAGCTGATAGACTTCATAATAGACGGCATCGGGAACACTACCCCGCATGCCCACATCCTGATGACGGCACGAAGCGTAGAGGAATTAAAAACCCTTATAAACCGGTATCAACACAAATATTTCGTGACCGGGGCGGTGCAGCCATCTAACCAGCGGCAGACAACGGCGCCGAAACAAACGGACGATTCGAAGCTGAAGTGTTTCAACTGCTCCCGGAACGGGCATATAAAACCAAACTGCCCATTCCCACTAAGACCGGATGGTTCCTGCTTCAGGTGCTGGAAGATGGGCCACGACCATCGCTCATGTCCAAATCCAGCAAAGCTTCTGAAGAGACGCGAAGTAGCCACTGTCGCCGAGGATGAAGACGACCAACCAGGTGCAATTGGCGCTTTTAACTCTGTGAGTATAGCTTTTAAGACAGTTACGGTTCCAATTACTTATAAGGTAACCTCTCTTTTCGATACTGGCAGTCCGATTAGTTTTGTAAAGGCATCACTGGTCCCAAAACAACTAGGGAAAAAACATATGGTTGATAGAGGCCCCAGTTATAAAGGCATCGGTGGAAGCAAAATTAAAATACTTTATAAAATGAAATGTACAATTGAATTCTTGAACAAAAAAAACGAAATTGAATTAAATGTTATTGAAGACAAAAGCATAAATTTGCCAGTTATTTTGGGACGTGATTTCCTCAGTAAGTTTAACATTTGTCTGACTAGCGCAACAGATAGTTCCACTAAGAAAAAATTGCTCGAAATAAGAAATGTTAACGACCATAGTTTGTATAAGTCTGAGAAGTTTGTAACTGATCCCAACGCACACTTCCCTATGACGGTGTGATCGAGGCCCATCGAATGAGAACGTGGCGGCAGCAACCGGAAGTGTGCGTTGAGGATACAGATCAGGACCCCTTAGCGATTAGTTGAGTGATTTTATTCTGATCGAGGCCGATCTTGTGTCAGGTTTGGCCGAGTTGTAACATTGGATAAAACAATTTCATTCAGTTAAGTTTCGGAGTCGGTAATGCAACCCTGCTCCTACTAGTTTAAGTAAATTATTGTAATGCAACCCTGTAAAGAAAATGAATAAAGAGAAAAGGAGGAAGATGGCGGTCACTTCCTTTTGAGCGAAAGAATAGAGGAAACGCATTAATTGACTAAAAATTCAATCCGCGGTAATCCGCTAGCTAAATCCAAGGTAAATAGCAATTTTACAAATGTGAATGTTTCCCTACAACGTCGTGTGTTGTGTTTGGAAGCGGGTTTTAAAGATAAAAAATGATAGTGACACTAATTTTTAAAACAAAAATCTGCGGTGATTACTACAAAAGCCCGGGAACTGTTTTTGCCGTGAAATAAGCAAACCAGTGAAAAGAGGACCGAAGGCGACTTAGTGTATACAAACGGGCAACAACAAGGCGATATGCCCGACAGCGACAAGTGCAAAGGCGCAATACGGGGAGAGACGTTGTTTCGGTGCGAAGGAGTGTGCGGAAGAGCTTATCACTCAGAAACAAAATGCTCGGGCATAGACAGTTTTAAAGCAACAGTGATTGGGACGCATCCAATAGTTAAATTCATTTGTGTGGAGTGCGTTACATACATACACAATGTTGATTTAGTTATACGTGATATTCAAGAAAATGTGCACAAAAACAACACATACTTCAGAGAATATAAAAGTGAGTTTGAAGAAGCGTTAAAAACAAACCAAATGGAAATGAAACAACTACTGGTGGAAATGGAAAAACGGTACAACGAAAGAATCGAAGCTCTAAGAGCACAGTACGAAGAGTTTTCCAAAAAAGCAGTGGAGGTTACCAAGGTAAGGGAGGCAGCAGAGCAGCTAAGAAAACAAACAGAGGCGATCGGGAAAGAGAACGTAAAATTCTGCAACGAAATGAGGAAAATGGTAAAGGAAAATAATAACGACATACGACAGCAAATGTCATATGCAAACGCGGTAAAATTGAACAAGCAAGCAACCAAGGAAGTACCGGAAATAACGAAGCGAACTCCTATTATTGTGAAGCCAAAAACAAAACAAAATAGTGAAACAACTAAAATGGATTTGAACAGCAAAATTAACCCTGAAGATATCCAATATCAAAACTGGTAAAAATGGAATAATGGTTACTGAAAGTGCAAATGAAGTAAAGCGAGACAAAATTAAATCAATAATGGAGAAGAATATAAGTGATAAATACGAAATTAAAATACCGCAAACTTACAGACCAAAGTTCGTAATAACAGGGATGAATTTTGAGATACGATAACGAACTCATCGATTGCTTAAGAAAACAAAATAAATGCTTAGAAAAAGGTGACATGAAGATTAAAAAACAATATGTTATAAAGGGAAAGCACAATAAATACCATAATGCAATAGTTGAGACTACTGAAGAGTTCTTTGCGAACGCCTTTAAGCAAGAAAAAATCAACGTAGGATGGGAACGTTGCAAATTATTTGATGCAATTGACGTTACAATGTGCTTTAAATGTAAGAGTTACAACCACAAAGCTGCAGAGTGCAAAAATGAAGAAATTTGTGGACAATGCCTGGGAAAACATCGAACAAAACTCGACGAAAAAAAGAAAAGAATAGGATATTAGCAGCTAACGATAAGTGAACTGAAAACACCTTCTGAAGGCAACGGGAAACCACTGAGGGAATATCTTCCCAAGAAAATTACATACATACATGAACCAAATAATCGGACAACTAAACATAATAATACAATGCAAATAGCAACGTGGAGCGTACGCAGTTTATACGAAGCTCGCAAATTAGACAACACTATTAAAGAATTTAAAAGACTAAAAATAGATATACTTGGCATAAGTGAGACATGGTGGCCGCTAAACGGGCAAATACAACAAGACGGCGTAAAACTTTATTATTCCGGAAATGAAACACAAAGACACAGAAACGGAGTAGGTATAATGATGAACAAAAAATGTTACGATAACGTTAAAGTGGTTCCGTTCTCTGATAGATTAATGCTTATAAAATTAAAAGGAAAACCAATTAACCTTAATATAATACAAGTTTATTCCCCAACCGCTGATTGTACTGAAGACGAGATAGAAGATTTTTATTCAGACTTAAACGCTATAATAAAAACAACAAAGAAACACGAAATTAATATACTAATGGGAGATTTCGAAGCCAAAGTAGGTAAAGAAGCAACAATAAACGTAACAGGTGAATTTGGACTAGGCGGCCGTAATGAACGTGGAATCCATTCCCACGACAGCCGGTTCTACGTACCGGAATGACTCGGGTTTCACCCGACCAAGGGCTGTTGTTTCGGCGATCTAACCCCGTTTAGGTCGGCGAAGTATCTCAGAAGTTGTCCGTCCATAGGGCAACATTCACTACGCATTCTCCTACTCAGGGCTGGCATCGAGTCAAACCCTGGGCCAGAAATATACACCTGCTGTGTATGCCGAAGACGATTACACCACAACTCCACCTCAGTCAAGTGTAATGCCTGCGAGGGGTGGAGTCACCTCAGGGTCTGCTCGGGACTACGGACACACAGAC